TACTTTTTTTTTGTTTGTTCATAAAGTTTGAATTATTTTTACCGTAGAAACCACTCTCAATAGTAACTATATGGGTATTTTAGACATTTTTTATCATTTATTAAAAAATTTTAACAACTGGAACGAGGCTGATACTTCAAAACTTGATAAATGAATTGTAATTAATTTTTATGAAACTGTGGAAGAGCAGAAATAAAAAAGATTTTGATGATATTGATGTTTCTCCGCCTTTAATCCTTGAATAGGCGAAAACTACTTTTTTAGAGAATATTGAAGTTTGAATAGCGATAATTGAAAGGGAAGACCAAAGCTTGGAAACCTATTGTTTAATATTGTTTAATGATAATACTATAAAAATTAATTTCGATGCATTGTGCATCAGTGGAGGAAATTTCTCAGTAGCAACTATTGTCAAAAACAGTTTTGGCAAAGTTATATTAAAGCTTAGTATTAGGTCATGCTTCAATTAGCATGACTGAAGCTCAGGCTGTTTGAGAAACTCACAATTTGGCGCTTAATTTTCATAATTATTGAATGTGATTCAAAGCTCATCCCACCTTCAGACTGTGATGGACTCTGTTGTGGAGTCTAAATAACATCTTGAAGACTTCTTGGGTTTAAAGACTCATTTGGAGAAGGATAGTGCCCACCGACATGTATTCTGAAAGTCAAATCAAATTAGCCCATAGACTCCATATATGTAATAGTGAGGGAAATGGAATTTAGTAGTATTTTTTGTTTTCTTTTTTTGGAAATTATAAGAATGTCACTCTCATATCAATTCTCTCTCTTTTTTTTAGTTTTTTTCTTTTCAAATTACAAGAATGTCATTCTCTCCTACCAATTCTCTCTCTTTTTCTTCTAAATTACAAAAATGCCATCTCTTTCTTTCTCTTTCTTGCCATCTCTCTCTCTCTCCCCTTATAAATTATAAGAATGCTACTCTCTCTCTCTCTCTCTCTCTCTTTCCAATTGAGGGGCTGCTAGGGGACCTGTAATCAAAGGTAACTCGAACTTCTTAGCTTAAGTTCAAGACTCTAATTCAAATCGAACTTGAACTAGATGACACCTTGACCATTGTGGGAGATCTTGGCTCAAGACCTCGATAATTGAGGGAGACATTAGCTCAACACCTCGCCTGCTAGAGAAACCTCAACTCGTCACTTCACCATTTAAGGGAAACCTCAATTTGGTACCTCGGCAATTGAGGGAGAACTCAGCTCGAAACGTCAGCTCGGCACCTCGGTTGCTTGAGAAACCTACAATCAAAGGTAATCAAACTCGAACATTCAAACTTGAGTCAAAAGCCGAACTCGAACTTGAACTCAAATTTCTAATTCGAATCGAACTCAAACCTAATAATTTATGAACAAACCTCTGCAAAACAGGGCCCCCTTCGCTAGTCTACATTTAAATCTCTAGGACCTCCCTTGGTCCTTTGCGTATATTTGCAATATTGATTTTTGGGGACATGCTACCCCATTTCATATAGCCCCTTCTGTTTTATCGAAAAAATATATAAATTATAATTAAAATCATCACACGCTTGTAATGTCAGAATGGTTGTATTAAGACCTTTTTTTGGATTTCTTCTAAAGTGAATTTCAAATACATTACTTTTTTACATGAATAATATACTATTGGTTATATTGTTCTTTCCACCAGGATGAATGCATCGTCCCAAGCGTCTTTGCCGGTCCGGCCAAAGTCAACTGCAATTAATGGAGATGAGTGCCAGTCCTCTCTTGTCAAAACAAAATACCTAAATCCTAGAACTCTAACTTTGTTCACTGTCTTCCGTCCCAATGAAAGCAACGTTACCTCATCGGCTCCCTCATCTTTGCTGCCATTACTTTTCTCATATTCCTACATATGACTCTTCATCGAACCACCTCCTGATCCTACACAAATTAATTGAGAGTTCATTTGGTTCGTGGAAATAGAGGTCCACAAATTAATTGAGGGTTTATTTGGTTCGTGGAAATAGAGGTCAAGAATTAGAATCAAAATGGGTTATTCCAATTACAATTGTTTGATTGGGTAGAATTGAAATCTTATTTTTATTCTTGATGGAATACCATTTCCCTATTTAAAGAAATGATCATTTTCCCCTCTTTCTTGGGAATGAAATTCCATTCCAATTAATTCTAATTCTCATTATGATTCTTGTTTGAATCAAACAGATTATGAGAATGAATAATATTCTCATTATGATTCTTGTTTGAATCAAAAAGATTATGAGAATGAATCATTATGAGGGATTTCAATTCCAGTTCCGATTGTAAACCAAATAGACCCTGAATGTGAACAGAACAATTTAAGAGAAAAAGTAAAGTGTAAATATTTGGAAATAGAATCAGAGTCTTCCACACCAAATAAATTGAAACATTTTTGTTTTTATGATTTGTTTTTGTTATAAAATGGGTTAAGAAATAGCTGAAAATTTGGCTCTATTATATTCAAACAAATGAATCCTTTCCAAAAATATATCGTGAATACCACGTAACTGTAGAAAAAGTAACTAGATATTAAAGTTATATAAGTAATAAATATTAGGGTAAATTGCTGAAATCTCTGGGGTGAGAAATAAAACTAAAAAACTGAACCGATTGAAAAAATTGATCGAAATCGAACCGAAAAATCTGATCAAAACCGAACCAAAAAATTGGTTAACTGAATTAGTTGGTCCAGTTTTGGTTAACCAATATAGAAAACCAGTGGTTAACCGAACCGACCAATATACATATATTTCTATATATTTTATATATATCTATGTATATTATATATATTTAATATTTTTATATTATAAATTAATAAATATGCATTATATATATAAATATATATATTTATAATATATGATATATTATTTATTATTTGAAATATAATATTTTATATAAATTTATAATTTTCTATTATATATTTATGTAATATATATTGTAAAAATAAAAAACCAAAAAACTCATGAACCAAACTGACGGTTAACCGAATCGGTCAACTGGTTAATCGATTAGTTTCGGTTTGGTTTTAGTTACCGGTTTTCCAAAAACTGGTAGTACTGGTTCGGTTACAAAAAAGGCCCACGGTTTGGTTAACCGAACCATGAGCACCCCTAAAAATCTCCCCTGAACTTTCTAACCATTGTTGAAACTTCCCTTGAAGTTTGATAATTGCAATCACCTCTCTCCTAATCTTTATGGCATAGTTGCAAGTAGGCCCCCTTTTGTTAAAATCTTCTAAAAAGAGGCATGAAAATGCCCAAAATACCCATACATTTACTTTTCACCAAAATGTTTATTTTTCAAAATTTTTCTAATTGTTTCCTATTGAAACCAGTCTCAATAATAATTGCATGGGTATTTTAGACATTTTTATACCTTTTATTAAAAAATTCTAACCAAAGGGGGTCTTTGCAATTGTGTCAAAAAGTTAAGGGGAGGTGATTGCAATTATCAAACTTCAGGGAAGGCTTCAGCAACAGTGAGAAAGTCCAAGGGAGGTTTTAGCAATTTACACTAAGGGCCCCGTTCGCTTTTTGGTAAGTTACATACCCGAGTAACTACAATTACTTGGGTAAGATTTTGCTGGGAAACACTTACCTAGGTAAGTGCATTTACCTATGTTCTTTTATTTCCTAGGTAAATAAGGTAATGACCATTTTGGCCATAAAAGTCCATTATTAAAAGGGGCATTTTTGTCCCATTTAAGTGTTAGCAACTTTCTCCTAGGTGGGAAAGTTACTTACTCACCTAGGAGATGGGTATACCCAGGAAAATAAACTTTTCCTAGTCTCCACATAAATCTGAAAAATGAACATGGGATTCTTGGTCAATGAGAACCAAAATCTCATTGACGAACTTTCCCCCTCTCAAAATCCAAAAAAATAACACCCCCTAAATATCCAACCAGCAAGCTTAAGGTATAATAGTTTATCCTGGGCTTAGCCCACATTCAACCTTAAACTGGGCCTAATGGTGAGTACATGCTAGATTTAGACCAATTTGATACCAGTGGATTCAAGAAACCGCCAGCCCTGGGCAAAAGCTTGCCTCCTGGTTTACAAAATATGCCAATTATCCAGCAGTTGAGATGGTTACTTGGTATCATTTTCTTAGCCCTGAACTTTACTTCAAGTGGAGGGGCATCCACCTTAAAAATTTATTAAATCAAAATCATAAATCACTTCATAACAAAGGGGGATATAGCCTGCCTTGCCCTATAAACCAATATTACAAAACTCTCCATCAGGCACTCTGCCCAACCCAACAAAACAAACATTAAAAATAAGGACAAAGCAAATACAAATAAAATTATCATCTGACCTACAGACTAGGGAGACCAATTTGTTCTTTCATAATTAACCAGCTTTCTAAAATTGTTATCAGCCATAAAATTGTAAGAAGGGGCTTCATCAATCTCAAGGTCAACAAGAAAATCTAAGTCTAACTAAACAATAAGAGAACACATTGATCACCATTATGGAATCATCTAATTCCAGGAGCTTGACTTGCCAATGCAGAATTGGAAGGAGAACCACAAAGCTGACAATTGAGACAATAAACATGTATGCTGGTAACAGTACCTATGTCTACAAATGATTATTGTGTTGATTCTACATATGATGAAACTACATTGATAATAAAGACTAGTTACTGTGAATTCTGTTGTTGCTGCTGCAACTACCTACTTTGAATGTGAAAGCAACAAATAAAAAAGAAAGAAAACAATACCATTTCAGACCTTTTACTTTGGTAACTAAAATGGTTTTGCTATAAACTTCAAGAACGTAAATTATTAAAAGAGATTCACAATGCAATTCCACCGATTCTGTTCAAGTGGTTATGTTTGATTTGTTAAAAGCAATCCCAAGTCTTGCTTAGTCCATTGACAAGGGAAATACAAACTAAAATAAGATGTAATGTTTTAAATTTGGACACCTACCAAAAATGTGTAAACCATTAACTTTACAAGTAGAATAATTCAAACTTCCACAAGACCACAAGTAGCATGAAGTTTCAGAGTCTCCTTTGTATCTTTCTATTTAAAAGAAAGTTCCTCCTTAAGTGGGAACACTGGAAAAAATCTAAAGGTAAATTTACATGAGATCTTCTGCAACTGAAAATGTGCAAGATTAGTTCCTTGCGAGTTTATTGATATTAGTGAAAGCAGAAATAAAATTGAACTAGAGTAAACTATATGACTGTTGAAATCAACATGAAAGAAAACCAGTTAACCTGTCTCTGGTTCAGGTTGAGCTAAACTACATAAAATTTCACTTTTTCTGACTTTTAAGCTTCTCTCCTTACACTATCGCGGGTATACTTCAGTCAACGACATACCTACAGACTGTGGTGACACCTTACTTGCAGATTGATCTGATTCACTCCCTTGCGACTCATTCTTCTTTGCAGGAATTACGGACTTGGTTCTACTACCAATGTAAAATGGAGGTGGTGAAGGTAATGCAAGTGTAACAGAGTAGCTGTCAAGCATCAGAGTAACTGAAGACATGGTGGGTCTGTCAGCAACATCTTCCTGAACACAGAGCAACGCAATTTGGAAGCATTTCAACACTTCATGCCTTGAATAGTGATCATGTAATGTAGGATCAATCAACTCTAAAGCTGCACCATCCTTCCACCGTCTCCATGCCTGGATCAGTGAGTCAAAAAATATTGAAATTGTCACAATTCATGGTCACCATTACTTGACATCACCAATAATTTTGGCATTAAGGTTTTCATAATCTCACTATTCCTTTTTCCTTTGATGTGGTGTTGGTACTGATCTAATTTGGAACACAAGGATTCCTGGTAGAATCCTCATTGCAGACCCTGCTTTTCTAGTAACCCAAAAGATTGCAAGACACTTTGTATCTGTTTAATGCTTTTGAACTTGATAGTAAAGCATTGTTTTCTTCTATGCAAGTCTGTAATTGGGTCTGTTTTGGATTAGATGCAGCCTCATCCAATTTCAATCTGATTATTTAAAACTTAAATCTGAATCCCAAGGGGACTCCAATTGGATTTGGATCCTATTGGATCTTAGATCAGATTTGGATTTAATCCAAGTCCATTCCATTATCTTTTTAAGTTATCTGTTCGGGTCCGATTATGTAAATCGATTATCTGAATCCAAAATAATTGGATTGGATCTTGGATTGGTGTTGGGCCCCCCAAATTAAATCAAGTTTGAAAGTTTAGAAAATACTAAAATCACACTTACATGAGTTAGGAGGTATTCTGCCTGCTCTGTTTGATAGAAAGCATTGTTCCTCTGACCAGTCATAATCTCAAGAAGAAGAACACCAAAACTAAAAGCATCCGACTTAACTGAAAACTGTCCACGAATTGCATATTCCGGCGGCATATATCCACTACATGACATCATAACCAAAACAATACTCAAGTTACAGGGCAGAAGAAGCTTGCTTATATGACTCTGTTCCAAAGAGTAAGATACTTGGTAAGAGCCAAACATATTAAGGGATATATATTTGCTTAATAATTATAGTTTAGCTCTTAAATGGGAGCTTAATTCTAACTCTTAACTTACTATGTTCCGACCACTCTACGTGTCTTCCCCTCAATTTGATCTGGTACAAAAAGTCTTGCCATGCCAAAGTCTGCAATTTTTGGGTTCATCTGCGCATCAAGCAAAATATTGCTAGCTTTGAGATCCCGATGAATAATCCTATGTCGGGAATCTTCATGAAGATAAAGAAGCCCTCGGGCAACCCCTACTATAATTCTGTAACGCTTTTCCCAAGTCAAGTCTGCACGTTTGATTGGATCTACACATTCATCCAATAGAAAATTAAAGTTGTTGTGGGAATGTATTAAATGACTTACAGATACAGAACTACCCACATTTTCTGAATCTTGTTTACGCAGCAAAGAAAAGAAAATATAGTAAAAACCAGAAAAAAGAAAGATAAAGAACAGGAACAAACCAAATAGAAAATGGTCAAGGCTTTTATTGTAAACAAACTCATAGATGAGCAACTTTTCTTCTCCTTCCAGGCAGAAGCCTAAGAGCCGAACAAGGTTTCTGTGTTGAAGCTTTGCTAATAATGCCCCTTCATTTTTGAATTGCATTTCACCTTGTCCAGAATTTCTGGACAGTCTCTTCACAGCGATCTCTTGTCCATCCAAGAGCCTACCCTGTAGAATGTGGAATGTGGATGTTCTAATATCAAGTTCAAAGTAGAATATCTGACAAGAAGCCCAAGAAGTGAAACTCACGGATCCTACATCATTTTAAGGAAGAGGTTAAGTCAGAGCATGTGCTTAGAACCTTATAAACTACACCAAATCCACCTTCTCCAAGCTTGTTAACATCGGCAAAGTTGTTTGTTGAAGCTTTGATTGTATCAAAATCCATTTGCAAGGAATCAACCATCTGAACCTCATCCTCAGCTACACAGGAGAATAATCGAGCTTAAGCACAAATCTGTACAAACTATTTGGAAAAGAATTATATTTAAAGCAGAGCTGCAGGGCCAGACATTCCTGTGAAAACGTATTCATTGGTGATTTAAAAGCTTCTACACGAATGAAATTAACATTAAATGACAAATTAAATTTTTGATCTCGTCAAATTCATGGGTACTTGAACCATCTAACAAAATCAGACAGAAGGTTGAGAGCTATTCACCGACCTTTTGCCCTTTTTCTCTTTCTCCTGAATGAAACGAAGATGGCACAGAGGAGAACCAATACTGAAATTAAAGGAATAACGATAAGAACAATAGTTCGAGATCTATTCCTCCCCTTGCCTGCAAAATGAAGAGATTACCGCAAAAAACATGGGTGAGCATACCATTACCAACCCTCCCATCACTCAAATCTCCTCCTTTTTCTTTATTGGGCCCCAGAAGTATATTAAGTTTAGAAGTTCACCAACACAAAATGTTTACCGGTAGATGTATTGGTTGTCGTCGTCGTTGAAGGGACTTCTGTAACGGCTGTAACCCGAAAGAAAGGGTACATATCGTACCTCAAGCTACAGCTAGGGTTGAGAATGATTGCTCCTTGCTTCCCGTCACAGCATATCGGGATTTGAGCAATAGAACCTCGAAGACATCTGTTACAATCGTTTGCAGATAAGTCTGGAGTGCACTGCGCAAGGCTATATAACGTTTGAGAGCTTGTGAAGTTATATTCTCCGGTTGTAAACTTGCCCACAGAAGGATCAAATGCTACTCGGTTTGTAAGGCGGTTGACAACCTGAATCAATAGCTCTCTAAACCCATCTGGGTCCGAGATGTTTGGTGAATTAGAAAACGAAAACCCAGGCACCTCGTTTATAGTGGAGAAGATGAAGAGGTTGGAATATCGCAGCATACACTCGTCGTACCATATATACGCCACTTTACGGTTGGGACATCTGCGTATGATCTCCAGACTCGCTGTTTCGACGCAATTCCGGCAGACGTCGTGGGTGACGTCGCCTCTGCAGAGGAAGAGACCGTAAACTGTATTGTTAGACTGACCAGCGGTAGCGTTGGAAAATCCATTGCGGGCCGAAGCATTAGAGGTTAGAGAAGAGAGGACGAGATTGAGATTTAGTTGGTAGGAGCTATTTGGAAAGAATTCATTAGCGGTTGTGTTTTCGCAATATTCTGTAACGTAGGTTGGAGTAGCAGAGGAGAAGCCAACAGAAACATAAAGCAAGGAGAGCAGCAGTAACTGAGTAATCGTTGTACCGTGAGGACGGATCATTGGAATTGGTAAGCTTTTCAAATCAATAGAATTAAAGATCACAAATCAAGCAATCAATTCTTCTGTGTTAATGTGTTTAATAAAAATTTATAGAAGAACAGTAGTCAAAGAAGAGAAGAGAATGGATAAAAAATTCTGTAATAATGTGAGGTAGACACTATAACTTTGATGGAGCAACGTTACTCGTGACATCAAATTACAAATTACATTCATGATTGAAGCCTTGAAGCAGAAAGTCAAATTTCAACTTAAAAGAATACACTTTCAAATGGGCTCTAAAGCCCTGAATTTTGAAATAACATCCAAGGCGGGACCTACATTACCACCTACTGAGGCGGCTGATGAGTGAGTGATGACGGTGATCAGAGGGCAGCGAGGGCTGAACCGTGAGAATTGGGTTCTGCTCCACATACCGATCTCACAGCCATTGATGTTGATTCAGTGGCATCGATGCTAAAACGGTGCTGTATATGTGTGGGTTGAAATTTATGAGAAAACAGTGTTTTTTTTCTTTTTTTTATTATTTAGAAAAGTTATTGTTAGGGAGGATGTTTGTTTGGTACTTGTGCTCTATATCTGTTTTCAGCATCCGTATTCATTATAGGAAATTCACATCTTCTTAACATGTCTTATTTGACGGCAACAAGCTCCAATATGAGAAAACGTCGAATTGACATTACTCCAAACCATGCATTCTTAATTTTCTAAGATGTGACTTGGAACATTATTTATTTTTTATGAAAAAACGATTTTGAACATATTAATATTTTCTTAAATACTGATTTTTCCAACGTAACACTGATGTGTCACCGCCTTAGTGATTCCTTCCACAATCACATTATAATGTGGATGATACCTAACAAACTGATATCATTCAAGGAGGATTAAGGTGTGAGTGGGTTGAGACCCGATCATTGTAAGGCGCTCTGTGTGAGGAGCAGATCCGGGGTTTCAATTTATGTCTGTTATAATCCACTTTGAAATTTTTATTGATTCCCCAAATGTGTTTATCCCCGCCACCCCCCTGTAAGCAACATCCCCCGTGAATTTAGAATCTTCCCCCCACCCAAAATGTAGGAAAGCATTACAATTTCTGAGGGGATTAAACCATAAAATCCCCTTGATTTTACACCTAGCAGTGTTTGGAATTAATGTTTTTTTTTTATTTTTTTTGAAAAAATGGAATCACATCAGCTTTACATCTGAAATTTCTCTTTTCTGTTTGATGTTTGGTTATACATTTTTTCTGAAAAGGAATGTATTATTAGTGTTTTATTAATCTTTACTGTTGCTGTGGTATGCTGATGTGACAATGAAAAATGTTTAATTAGGTGTCAACAACCACCCATGGTCCCAAACAAAAGAAAAAATACTAAGTATTCATGTCAATATATCACGGTTTTCTCAAAAAATATCTCAGAAAACGACATTGTTCCAGACATGCCCTCAGTAAAACTATTTCAGTTATTGAATCATCAGCTGCTCATTTCCATGATTCCATATTTAAATGAGGACAATTTCTGAAAAATACGATATAGAAGACTTTGATTGAACCACCAATAAATTTTGATAATTACCGGTTGATGGGTTACAAACTTATCATGCCTATGACACCGGTTTTTAGATATCATGCTTTTTTTTATCATAATGGGATTATTTTATTCAATACTAATTGCTTTTAATAATATTTGTTGAACCTAAATGAAAATGCAAAGAAAATTTTTATTGTATAATGCATTTACTTGCCTTGGTCTCATGTAAAGGCAACTATTCCAAATTTTTTACCCATTTTTCCTCTTGCCAAAATCTGTCTTCACTTAAATAATTTCATAATTTCTAAATCAAGTAATTTTGGGTGTTTAAACAACTTTTTTATTACATTGGGGATGTATGGAACCATGGCCATTAAAAAAAAAAAAAAGGTGTCATATCGGATCCACACAGACGTTTCAACAAATGCCTATATATTTCATTGTTTGGTTCAGGCATTTATTGAAAAATCGGGCATGTCTCGTAAATTGAGACTCCACCGATGCATGAAACGTCAAATTTGGCATTTCATGCATCAGTGAACCATTTCCCCCAATAGTTGACTGATTGATGATTACGTGTATCCTATGTGGTGCTTACCACGTACATGAAAAATGGTGATGAAAATCACCTTACCAAACAGCATAATGTTGCTCACTGCCTGTGTGGCAGAAACACTCCCAAACAAAATTAAAGCGTTTTTTTTTTTTGTAAAAAACGGGTTTTAGAAGTATGAGCGTTTTTCTTAAAAATCAGTCCCAATAAATGCCCATGCTTCTAAACACTATCATTATCAGTAAGAAGATAAAACGATCTTCAATTTGGAAATTAGAATATGAATCTTCGATTCTTCAATTTAGAAATTAAAATATGAATCTTCAACCAGTTGTGGATGTATAGGACCTTTGGTCTGGAGCAGACATTATCATAACATCAACTTAACTATAATATATGAGTAATTAAAACAAAAACTTGAAATTAAAATATTTTCACTCTAAATATTTTAAAAAATAAATACATCTCACAAATGGATTATCTTTTTTCTTAGATTTTTTTATATTCTCAAATATATAGGGTCTAAAAACTATAAGGAAAGGAAAGAAAACATTGTTCCTAACACAACAACTGTTATGGCAATTTTGCATAAGATCTCCTCAAATGTGTTTTGTCGTTTGAGAAAGGAAGGATTTTATCTAGTTTGTCTCCCTGATTTCCTCCTCCATAGTCCATAGTCCAGGAACTTGTTCCAAGCCCTCAACCAAAAACTTGAAAAGAGAATAGATGATCTGTATGGCCCTTTAATTTTTAGGGGTAATGCTTGTTAGTTGTTATATATATTGGAAAAAATATGAAAATAAAAGAGTCACTTCACTTTTCATTATTTTAGTTTTATATTTTAAGTAAGTCTTGGGCATGGATGTCATTGTATGACCCCTTACTCGTTATAAAAAATTATTATTTTATTTGAGTGGGGTGGGTAATCGTAAAAAAAAAAAAAATCAACATTTTCATTAGTATATAAAAATTTTTCAAATCTGAGTTGGGACAATTGCCCCTAACATGTACATATGGATATCACATTATCTCCCCATGGCTAAAGAAGCTATTATTTGTTTATTGTGCTTGGTTTGACCACTAGAGAAGACAAACGGAAGTCAATTTATATATATTAAATGTAATCAAACCTTGACCCCAACATGTTTGGATATCCAATCAAATTTCGACCACTCCTACCAACCCTGCACCTTCCATTTTCATTTGTATTCCCTTCGGAGGGTTTTTTGTGGTGATTGTGTTAAGTTGCTAGAGCTGCTTTTGAAGGGATGAGAGATCCATCCTATGGATGCCCAAAGATTGCGGAATAAGGGGCGAATTTCAAAAATTTTTCTCTCCCTTCAACTAGGAATCATATTCCCTATTTAGAAAATCACATTTTCAAGGATCAATCTTGAACCTTAAACTGAACCAGATCTGAACCAAAAAGAGTAGGAGAGAATTATACCTGATACGGAGAAGTAGAATCTCCCAACGAAGGTGTTCACGCCCAAGGAAAGATCCAAAGACTACTC